TTATACAAACAGGTTGTGCATTCTACACTCGTCCCTCATCATGGAGTGCTTTCATTGCCTGGGATTGTCAGTTATGGAAGAAGAAAGCTAATCCAAAAACAAATAATTGCCATGGAGCGTAACAGAAGACACTTCAAAGGCCAATCACTCTCTGCAAATGCTGTGCTAAATCAAACAATTGCCTCCATCCGAGATAAGGCAAGATGCATTATGGTTGAACGGGAGGTCCCAGGTACTTTCATCCGTCCACCACGGATGCCACCTGATTGAATTCATCCATGGCTCTACTGCGAAGCTGAATTGTGCACTACAACGGCTAGTTTTGGAATTGGTATCATTTTGGGTTGGGTTGGTCTTTTGACTTGGGTTTAAGCTTCTGGCCTTTTGGTTTCCCTTGGCCCAATAATTTCGGTCTGTACATTTATTTATTTTATATATATAATCACACTTACCCCTATATATATATATGTATATATACATATATACTGTATTATTATGAAAAATTCCATAAATTAGATATCCGTATATTTTAGAAGTAAAGTCATAAAACCTGATCTACTATTAAATTGGTTAAAAAAAGAAAAAACCTCACGTACTATTAAATTGGTTAAAAAAAGAAAAAACCTCACGTAAATTAAATAGGTTCAACAAAACTCATTAAACTATGAAATAAAAATTTTGAACTTATTATTTAATGTTAAATTAAAACTTGAAAATTATATTTTTAAGACATCATTTTACCCCAAACCCTGATCCACCGTTAATTAGGCTATGAAATATTTTGACCTTATTATTTAATAGTATTGCATTAAAACTTAAAATTATATTTTTAAGTGGTAATTTTACTTGTCATCAACACGACGTGGGGACCCTTTTTACCTATAAAAAAAAAAAGAAAAAAGAAAAAAAGAAAAAAAGAAAAAAAAGAAAAACCCACGACCGGCGGAGGGGACATCATCCCTTGGGGTTGGAAGTGAGAACGAAGAACATGAAGGGATATACAAGAGAGGAAAGAAAAGAAAGAATTAAGAGAGAAGAAAAGAAAGGAAATAAAATAATAGCTATAATTTGTATTTATGTTAAAAAAAAAAAAAAAAAAAAGCCTAATATTCTTGTTTGGATAAAACAAAGGGGAGAAAAGAAAGGAAAAGATAATAATCAAATTACTGTATTACCCTTTTATGTATAATATAAATAAAATAGTTTGTTTTCAAAACTTAAATTACTTGTAATTTGATTGAATTACCCTTTTAAATTACTTATATTATACAAAATCCTTAAAATTTAATCCTGACAAGATGAAATATTTGTAATTTGAAACGTCAAATTGGCCAAGGATGTCACTAACATTCTAATAATCCAATTATGGATCCTAAAGTTCTATTAAACATGGATTTAATTTAGATTAAGGGGCCCAAATCCATATCCACAAACAAAAATTCAAAATAAAGACATTTTATTATTATTATTATTTATTTTACCATCTTCTTGTTCTCTCTATACAGAGAATTTATGCTTTGTTAAATTTAAATGGATAATTAATATATAAAAAGTGTAATGATATATACTTTTGATCACATGCATTACATGTGCTTAATTCTTAAATAATATATGTGTGTATATATATAATATATCACCTACGGGTATTTTTGGCCATGACAAGTCACGAATCCGTAATAAAAAATTGAAAATTCAATAGAAACAAGGCCTTCAATCTTGTTCCAAAAAGTGATAAAGTGATTCTGACTTGCAGACGGGAGAGAAGAGGAGATAGAGATATAAATTTTGTGCATAGAATTTTGAAGGTTAATTTTATTTTTTTTTTAAATTTTATCTAAATGGTTTTTCTTTTAAATCTTCTCAATATTTAAAATTGAAACGATTTAGTTGAAGAGATTTGGAAGGATAAGTTATCCCCCAAATTCTTCCCAATTCTTTCTTTTTTCTTCTATTCTCTTCATTCAAATACACTTAACATTATCATTTCTTATTTTTTTTCTTTCCAAATCCCTCTACATCCAAACCAAGCCGAAGAGAGGCAAAACAAGAATCCATCTGCGGTGCCCACATGCTGGTTGTTGATTGATTTTGGTTTTGAATTGAGATTTTGGTGGCTGCCGCCGGCATCAACGAAGCAGATGATCGAAGACCAAAAACAGAGCTTCAACCGTTTGATTGAGTTTAACATCTGCGAATGAGACGATTGAATTTGGGAGTAAATCGCTTTGAGATACCAAGATCATCGCCGCCGTGAGGCAAGTCGCAGCACTGTTGCCTTAATCCCAAACCTCACTGCCACCCCCGCCGTAAATCACGCTGCCGACGTAATCGCCGAAAATTAGTACGGCAAACTGTTTGGGATCAGGCCAAGCCATTTTGGTAAATTTCTTGACGGCGATCCACCATCGATTTCGTAATCGGCTATTGTACACAGCACTTGAGTCTCTTTCACAACTCTCTAAGACGATGAACTCCGACCTGAAGTCGTTGGTGGCAGCCTTCAACAGTTCAACTCAGACTCAGAATAGGCCAGATGCCGCCGTCACCGTTGCAAAGAGCAGTTTTTTTTTTTTTTTAGCAAGTCCTGTATTTTAGAAAGAGAGGGTGTTGAGGATATTTTTGTAATTTTATAAGAATAATTTTTAATTTAATATTAAATCTTAAGAAAAATTTTGTCATTTCACACTAATATGGACTAATTTGATTTAATTTTAGTTGGATTTTGTTTTTACACCAATTTGATAACAGAGGGGAGTTGTGATTTTACCCATATAATTAACAAACATATAAATATATATAGATATATAATATATATAATTGTTGTAATAACTTTTTGAAAGATGAATTTTGACAAGGGTGGCCATCACATGTGTTTCCAATGCATCGACAACCAGCCTTTGCAGGGCGTATTTTAAACATGGGAAGCCTTTGTGTGATATTTTCCTGTAGGAGAAGCCAACCATCAGATTCTGACAATTGGGGCTGATTCTTGTGCTGCTAAATCACAACCACAACATATAGATTGAATGATTCGATGACTCTGAAAGCCGACCCAATTTGGCTCAATTAGTTACTTGGTGAAAATGAAAGGGGTGCGTGTGTATGTGTGTGTGTGTGTGTGTATATATATATATGGATAAGTTTGTATAGATTGAAAGCTGTAAATGCTGCCAAACGCCATCAATGGCAAAATTTTACACTGTCAAGCGTTGGAACTCAGGTCACACCATATAAGTATTAACTTAATCTAGTAAAATATGTATATGAGATAAGTATGTATATCTTATAAGCTATGCTTTTTACACATGATTTCTTTACTGGAATCAATTATGTGGCTAGCTTAATTAGCTAGGTCCTAACTCCTAACACTCCAAAACAAAAGGTCCACTAATTTATTTGCTAATTTGGAAAAAAAAAAACGATTGTCGCACAACTAGAAATACATGCAGTTTTAACATGATGAGTCTGTTTCTCAATATATATACACAAATAAATAAAGACAAAAATTCTTCCATTCTTGTTCATTCATGCATAGTACAACCACGTGAAAAAACAGTGTCCAATAATAATCTGAAAAAAAGGGAAAAGAACCCTTTACATGGATATGAATAGGAACCTGCAACTGGTAGAACTTAAATAGGAACAGGCAACTAGTAGAGCTTAAATTGTATATGAAAACAAAGGAGCAGAAACAAACAATTTGGACAGAAGATATGGTATCGCGACCCATGAGACTACATATAGAATTAATCAGATTATCATATTCTACTTTTGGCAAAATTCTAGCTGGAAAAAAAGAAAAAAACTGGCCATCAATTTTATATTCAAATTGTTTGGTTCTCAATCGAAAAACACGAATAAAGTAGTTGTATAAGGACCTCAAAGGGATAGTCGTTCAAGTAAAGCCAAAAATTAGTGCAAATTAAGGAGGTGTTGGATTAAGAAATGGTGAAAATTATTGAAAATATTATCTAGTACAGTATAACAAAAGAGTGCACAGAGACAAACCAATAGAGATGACCCACAACGATAGGATGAGTTAAACATACGTTTCAATAAGGAAGAAACTAACACTAGAGTATGAGATCAGCAACTTGGAATGCACCCATAATGTCTAAATAGGATTTTTGATTGTATATATCACGCCTTCATGATACGTACACTTTCTATAATATTTTTGGAAAGACTGGAATTTTTTTTTATGAGTTTATGTGATCGATGACCTGCCATTGTGGCTATCTCCATATATAATTTTGTTGAAAGAAAACAATAAATTGCCCTAATAGGCTGATTTTTTAGACCAATTTAAAAGGCGGACTTAGAAATGTCAAGCAATTGTATTTTTATCCAACCACCAAGGGCTGTAGTCTAGGGTTCAAGTCTTATAAGGACAAAGTGGGTGTGTGCGTGATTGTATTTCTTAGTAAGTTAAAAATTTATATATATATATATATATATATATATCCAAACCTCTCACTTACATAATCTATATATCTGCAATTCCTTCACGACCAGAGAAGGATTTCATACTGTACGAAATATTTTTTTATAGCATACACTCAATGGAAGAAAATATTTTGTGCAAGGCACAATGAAAATCAGGCTGCAATGTGGAATGAAAATCACACATATAGAATATTTCCTCTAAGTAGAAAAACCACTTGAAATGTAAACTGCCTGCAAGTTATACCTCAATTATGTGTTTCCTTGTGACTCAGCAAAATGAAAATCCTACTCTAGCTGATAATTTAAATTTACAGCACTAGCTCACGGGCTTTCATTCTTGATGTGTTTTAAATGATAAATGTGGATCCCACTTGAAGGGAAGTCTTTGGTTAGTGTTTTAGGCCTAACTTATCGGATCAAATATCATTTCGGATAACTGAGAGTAAAAGCGAACAAATCAACTTTCTCAAATCTGCCCTATATATAAAGGTGTCCTTACCCACTACAAAGCACAAGCATTCTCTTAGTTCTTGTCCATACAGAACTTTCTCTCCATGGCAACTTCCTTTTCTTCTCAGCAAATCCACAATCCCAAGACCAACTATGAAAAAGAAAGAGAGGAAGACTATGAAGCAACATACCAAAAGTACAGTGAGGCACTCCAAACCCTTCCAAAAGAGAGAGGCTGGATAACTGAACATCTAGTTCAGTACCAAGGCTACTGGTTAAGCCCCAAGTCTGCCCTAAAAGGAGTCTTGTTGGTGCAACATCACTTCAAGGCTCGACCTACCAATATCTTCCTGTCTGCAAACATGAAATGTGGCACCACATGGATCCGAACCCTGATGTTCGCCACCATGAACCGGTCCCGTTATGACTTCTCCTCCCAGTCCCACCCTTTGCTTAACACTGGCCCTCATGGCTGTTTCCCCTTCTTAGATGCCTCTATATATCAAAACTATCCCATAAATACCAACCTTGATGCTCTTCCTTCGCCTCGGCTCTTTGCTACTCACATTCCATACACTTTGTTACCACAAAGTGTGACATCTTCTGGCTGCAAGTTTGTTTACATATGGCGTGATCCAAAAGATGTGCTTACTTCTCTTGGTCACTTCTCGGAAAGAACAAAACACAAAGAAGTGACATCCCTTTCACTAAAAGAAGCATTTGAGATGTTCTGTGAGGGCGTCTCACACTATGGACCCTTTTGGGATCATGTGTTGGAGTATTGGAAAGCAAGCCTTGAATTGCCTGAAAAGTTTCTGTTCCTTAGGTATGAGGATTTGAAGAAAGAACCCTCCATTTATCTTAAGAAGTTGGCTGAATTCATGTGCAACCTTTCTCATTGGAGGAGAGGAGAGATGGGGTGGTGCAAGAAATAGTTACGCTATGTAGTTTTGAGAATTTGAGCAATTTGGAGGTGAATAAGACTGGTGTGCAATGGTTCAGCAATGAACTTGTGGTTGATAACTGCAAGTTCTTCAGGAAAGGTAAGGTTGGTGATTGGCAGAATTATCTAACAGATGAAATGAAAGAGCGACTAGATCATATCACAAAGCAAAAGTTCAATGGTTCTGGATTGAACTTTGGTGTCTCCCCAAAATAGAAAACGTTGATTGCTTGTGGCAAGCCTTCCCTAGCTAGTACCTAATAATTTTTTTTTTTTTTTTTTTGATAAGTAGTACCTAATAATATGATCTTGTCAAAGTTCAATGGTCCGGATTGAACTTTGCTGTATCCCCAAAATAATAAGTGCTGATTGCTTGTGGCAAGGCTGGCCTATGTCTGCAGTCTGGACTAAATGAAATTACTTCTAATGTGGGATGGGTTTAGACTAGAGATGATGTTGCAGTATGTTTTCTTTCCTTTTTTATTTGTTTCTGATATGGCCTATGGCCACCTATATTTCAGTTTCTATTGTTTTGTTGATATGGCTCCCATGCCATTGTCAATTTGATGAGCTTTGCTATTGTTGCCTTATTTGTGCACATCTCTCCTTTCAATTAATATAGTTTTGAGAATAGCCCTTGTTTAAGTAGATCTTGTTGAAACTTGTACCCAATGGCTCAAAAGAACATATCTGGGACATAGAAGATCTAGTTAAGTCTACAAATGAACTGTGAAGCCTTATAACAAAGATACTTAAGTTCAGTTCTCTCTCTTGAAGGCAGCCTCAGAAGTATTTTTTCCTTTATTAAAATTGTCAAATGACATTAGAACGTGTCATATACTTGGATTGGAGTAATGTCATCCAATGGAAACACAAAAACTTGCCTAAGCCATTGTAGACACAACACCCTTGATGGGGTTGGAGTCGTCGGACCACCCTTTGTACCTGTCCTTCCTAACAGTGGGCGGACCCAGTGACATGAAATCAGATCAAGGATTGCACCCGCTTTGATACCACTTGTAATGGATCGAATGCTTGCCTTCTAACCCAAAAGTATAAGTTGTTAAATAGTGATGCCTACCACTCATACATGTCCAAAATACTTCTCATAAAAATCCGTAGTGGGACAAGAACCCCTTACACCGGCCATCCCTGGATCTTTTGTAGGCTTTTAAGCTCACTTTCTTTGGGTCAATATGAGAACCTAGTCAGCAGTAATGAAATCAACGTCTGGAAAGCATGCGAGTGGGACATTATTAGTTTGAATGAAGACAGGTGATTAATTACAACATCACCAAACATGGAGCTTAGCTAACAAAAACATTAATTGAGATTGTCTTCTTTTAACCAACCTAAGTACTATAAAGCATACTCAATGTTCAAGGCATGTAAAACTAACTTCAGAACTTTCTACCTTCGTCCCCTTTTGCTACTAAGTTTAGATCCTTCTCTTCACAAGAAGCCTCTTTCCCTACTAAAATAATTCACATACCCATGAAATGTGAGGAAAAAGAAGAGTCCTCAAAAGCCAAAATGAAATACAGTGACATAATATCAACCCTTCCTAGAGAAAATGGTTGGACAACCTCTAATTCTCTCTACCAGTACCAAGGCTTTTGGTACCCTTCCTTGTTCCTAGAATCAATCATTTCAACTCAAGAACACTTCAAGGCTCAACCCACAGATTTGATCGTGTGCAGTGCTCCAAAATCAGGTACCACTTGGCTTAAGGCCTTGACTTTTGCCATCACAACAAGAAATCAATTCAATGAATCAACAAATCCTTTACTCACCACCATACCCCATGAATGCATTCCCTTATTGGAGTATGATCTTGCCAAAAACCCGACTTACCGGCCTCCAAAGCTTCCCCTTTTGGCCACCCACCTTCCCTATACTTCCTTGCCACGATCTATACTAGCTTGTGGTTGTAAAATTCTTTATGTATGCAGGGATCCAAAGGATACATTTGTTTCTCTGTGGCACTTTGCATGCAAGTTGGGCCCTAAAGATGCACAATACCTTCCCTTGGAAAAGGCATTTGAGCAGTTTTGTAAAGGCATATCTGCTTATGGACCATATTGGGACCATGCCTTGGGATATTGGAAAGCAAGCTTGGAATGTCCTGAGAGGGTAATGTTTTTGAAATATGAAGATATGAAGAGAGATACAGTGTTTCATGTAAAGAGATTGGCCGAGTACGCAGGTCAACCATTTTCCATGGAGGAAGAGATGGAAGGTGTGCCACAAAGAATTACAGAGTTGTGTAGTTTTGAGCATATGAGCAATTTGGAGGTGAATAAAAGTGGGAAGCATCGTCCGAATTCGCCTATGGCAATCAATAATAGCATGTACTTCAGAAAAGGGATAGTTGGGGATTGGAAGAATCACCTAACAACAGAGATGATAGAGTTGTTGGATCAGATTACAGAACAGAAGTTAGGTGGTTCTGGTTTGACATTTCATGTGTCATCAAGTCCATAAGGGATTATAGGACTGAAGGCACTCCTGCTCTGACAAAATTATAACTTTTAGTGTTCTTTTGCTCTCACAATGTTTGATACTGCCTCTATTTATCATTTTTGTGAGGTGTTTATATCAATAACAAAAATAAAAATTCAATAAAATTGGAATAATTTATAAATTATTCATATCCCTCTATCCTTCAAATGAATGATATTTTACGAATAAGTTGACTAAAAAAAACAAAAAAGGAAAGAAAATATTGATATCATGGCATAATATTTCCAAGGAATGTGATTTTTTACTAGCTTTTATAAATTACATTCAATCTAGGAAAAAATATATTTTAGTGACCAAATCTGTATAAAAAATAAAAAATAAAAAAAAATGCTCATGAGGAACCATAAAATAAAATAAAGTAAAATAAGAAAGAGATAAAAAGAAATAAATAAATAAAAAGAAAAAAAAAAGAAAAAAGAAAGAAAGATAAAAATAAAAAAAATAAAAAAAAGAAGAAGGGCATTTATGGAATAAAGAAATGCCCTTCTTAAAAAAATCATGTTATTGTAAAAACTAGAAATTGCTTTTGATGATCAGACAGAGATAAAATCCGTAAAGCTTAGATTCATTAAACTCATGGAAAAGATTCACATACAGCAGCATCTATTCCCAATTTCACATCCCATATAGGAGCATTAAACATATATAAGATCCTACCTAGCTTAATTTCCATAAGAACCAACATATATATAAGCTGTCTTATCCTTCTTCCGATCTCCATTGTCTCCTCCACCTATAAGCTCAACTAAATCAAGCAACCAACATGCAAAGGAGTACGTACCCCTTTGGCTTTATCATGTTTTTTGGGTGAAATCTATCCTACATGTTGTCCAATATCGAAATTTCAGAGGTATCCCCAACTTTGTCTTTGTCAACAAACAATTCGAAATACTTAAAGATTTTTTTAAACAAGTCCGAGTCAAATAGCAAAGATTCGAAGCACTTTTTTTTTACACTATTTCGAAAACCCAAAGACTCTTTCGTATGGATATGTAAAATACAGAATTTCCAATCCTAGCAGCAAAATGAGAGAAAATCATACTTAATTTAAAGTGAGTAAACAGAATTCCATACTCTCTCATAGATACATATAGAATTCTAAAAGAAAATGAGTTTTTTAAAAAGGGCAGGTATGAAATAAATCATGAATGGTCACTTATTGACATTTGTGTAAAATTAACTTATTGAAATTGAGGATGCGGCAAGTGGCATAGGCCGGATATGGTTCGCGGGAATGAGATCGGGTCGAATGATTGAAGTAGGATCCATGCCAAAGCGCCCTGGAATGGGCCGAACCTGGAGGATCCACCGAGGAAGGTCAAGCCCATTGGAAGACCAAGTCCAGAAGGAAGAGAGCTTTCGAATATAGGCCCAATGTAATTGGTTAATAGCAATAAGGGTGATGGCCTATAAATAGACCATGATAGGTAGAAAATGGAAAAAAAAGGCTAGGGAGAGAGAGAGAGAAAGAGAAATCACGAAATCTTGTATCTTCAATTGGCGCCGTCTGTGGGAATCGAGGACGAAGATCAATTCGAGCCCGATCAGTTCCATATTAGTTCAATCGAGTTTGTGAATACGCAGTGTGATTTCTGGAAGTTGAGTCCAGATCAGTGAGATTGTAGTTTGTTCTGAGAGAATTCTTGCTTATTGAGGATTCTGAGGCATTTGCTTTGGAATGACGCAATTGTGATTTGCTCAGTTGCAGTCAGATCCGACGAGTTTGAAGCTAGAAAAGTTCAGATCTAGCAAACAGTGATCACGATTCGGTGAAGTTAAGCCCAGATCTAGCGGAGTTTGCATCGGTAACGCTTAGATCTGTTTCGAAGTTCGTAATTCATGCCTTTGCTTCGATCCGGAATCATGATAGGGGGTGACAACTCTAATACGGTTGAGAACGTCCAGCAAGTAAAACTTGATGAGTTGATGAACATGATCGAAGCTCTCCGGAGAGAAAATGCGGATCTAAGGAATGAAATGCAGCGTCAAGAAGCTCCAGTAATTCCACGACCACTCCCGGTAGGAGAAGAAGGTACACGTACCGATGCAGCACATCACAGTGAGGAGGTTGGAAACAATCTAGTAGATCCTCACCGCGAAGAAATCCGGTGAGACAGTTTGCCGCCAAATCTTCGTCGTATGGATGATCGTGAAGGATCGACTCACATGGATCCACGGCGTGAGCAGATCAGGCGAAACGAAGCAATGACTTTTGATCCACATCAAGAAACGCTCAGCCGAGGTGAAGCAACAGAGTTGGTTCGTCAGAAAGCTATGCCTCTATGGCGCAAAGACTTCGTTGAGGATAGATCGTTCGATCCGACCTATCGGCCTTCCATGACAACGTTCGACTATCACAGCTCAGAGAGGAGATCAGTAGACCAGAGAGCAGCCGCAGGGTTCCAGAGGGAAAATGAAGCACTCCGTTCAGCAGCTCGAACGGTGGATTCACCGTTCACCGATGAGATTCTGAATGCTCCGAGTCCGAGGAAATTTTCCATGCCCGTTTTCATTCTGTTCGACGAAACGACTGATCCGATCGACCATGTGTATCACATCCAGCTGAAAATGGCTCGAAACACTGAGAATAACTCTTTGATGTGCAAGTGCTTTCCTACGAGTCTGGCCGGACCAGCTCTGAATTGGTTCAAGAACCTGCCGAGGGGTTTAGTGAATAGTTTCCGAAGCCTGTGTGATCGGTTCATAAGCTAATACTATGGAAACAAGCGTCCAGCGAAAGATATTTCGAGCTTATTCACAATAAAGCAACACGCTGAAGAGCGTCTCCAGGCTTTCCTAACCAGGTTTAACCTTACCAAGAGCATGGTTATTGAATGTCACCCTTTAACGGCAGTTCAAGCATTCATACTGGCCATGAATCATGGCACCCCATTCCACACAAGCTTGGTGGTCAACACGCCGAGGACTATGGATGAACTTAACGAAAGAGCCGATGGATTTGTGCGCTTGGAAGAAGAAGAGGCGGCAAACGCTCGAAAGACGTCTGTTATATCCACGGAAGAAAAGACCAAAGCAAAGATCAGGCAAAAACAGGTTCAACCACAACGCTCCTCGTGGAAATCCGAGAAGAGGCCCAGAGAGGAAGAGTTGATTACTCCATTGAAAGTTACCCTAGCAAGACTGTACCAAGAAAATAAAGATAAGTTCCGACCTCCTTTACCAATCAGACAACCTCTCGAACAAAGGGATCAGTCTAAGCACTGTGCGTTTCATTCTGATTTTGGCCACCAGACTAACGAATGCAGGAACCTAAGGAGACAGGTAGAGATGCTAATAGCCAGAGGGGAGTTCGCAAGTTATATTCAAGGACCAGCGGTGGAGCAGAACCGACCAATGGAGCATGTGAAGAAGAATCAGAAGTCGAATTCTCACAACACGCAACCAGTTCGAGTAATTGATGCAATTCACGGTCGGCCAGAACCTGCTGAGGAATCAGATGAACTGCTTCGAACACGCCTTCGTCAGGCATGGATGAAGAGAATGATAGGCAGTGTAAACACTCTACACCAGCAGAGCGCATCAATGCAGATAAAGTTTGACGCAACAGACTTGTTGCGTATTTAGATCCCTCATAAGGACCCGCTGGTCGTAAGTTTGACAGTGGCCAAATGCTTGGTGCGCAGAGTTCTAATTGACCCTGGAAGTAGTGCGAACATCATGCCAAGAGATATATTCGATCGGCTCGAGATCAAACAGGATCAGCTGAAATCCACCGGGAATCCACTATTAGGGTTTGATGGAAAGCGAGTGGAGCCCGTCGGCACGGTGGAGGTAGCGGTACATGCTGCCGAGAGGGTTTTGATGGAAACCTTTGTAGTTGTTGAAATTCATCCTTCTTACAATCTTCTGATGGGCAGAGGGTGGATCCATAGAGTTCAAGGTGTTCCTTCCACTCTGCACCAGGTAATGAGATGCCTGGGACCGGACGGAACCAAAGTGATTGACATTCATGAAGACCAAGTTGCAGCTAAAGAATGTTACTCTGTAATGCTGAAACATGCCGGAAAGGGGAAAGCTCCCATTCGTTCAGTAAGTCCGAGATAGCAATTACAGGAGCCTCCCTCCAAGCAGAATGGAGAGGAGGAACCAGTAGGCTTGACTGAAGAACCCCTGCTCGATGTGCAGATCGATCAGTTCCGACCGGAACGGACAACCAGAGTAGGGGAACGACTCGTTGAGGAGGAAAAGCAGGAATTAGTTGATTTTTTATCTCAAAACGCAGATGTATTCGCATGGAGTCACTTAGACATGCCAGGTGTGGAGGGAAAAAAAACTCCCTCCAATAGAAAACGCACACGTCACCACTACCCATATCTACAGGCCAAGGACATATAAGGCCCATCATGCTCAAGCCCAAGTTGAGGGTATTTACAGCCCAAGACCATTCCATCAAGGCCGACTCAAGAAGCCATCAGCCCAGCTTGTCGTCAGCCCAGATATGAGTATTTAACATCCGGCCTGTTACCCAAGCCCAGCCGGATCAAAATATATTCAGCCCAAGAATGCACAAATCCTACCATTTGAAGAATTTACTGTAGAAGGAAAATTCGGATAGGAAGTTCTGTACAAGGCAAGTTCTATGTATGGAAAATTCAATAATGGAAAGAACTCTATTAGAAAAGTATGGTGATATAGAAAGAATTGGAGGGCAAGCAACACGAGTCCTACCATAATTTTGCAATCTTTTGTATATAAATAGAGGTTAAGACCTCCAATAAAGAATCAAGCAATTCCACACTTCTCTACACATTGTTCTTATTTATTTTTATTGTTTTTGAGTGAGTTGTTTTATTTTTCTCAGTCATTATTGGTTGAGCGAAATTTTGCACCTACACTTTGGCGCCGTCTGTGGGAATCGTATAGAAATATACTCCCACTTGTTCTTCCTTTAATCGTGTCTGGAATGTCAAACGGAGAGTCAGTAATGAATCAACAGATAA